AGAGTGGTTTTTTTTGTAGTTTTTGAGAAAGATAAACTTTAGTATGCAATGTCTATGACTTAAGTACATATATATTATCAATTTTATTCAAAGTTTCTGTCAAAGAATGTTCAGAAAAACATTTGTGACCTGGATAATTTAACTCACAGGATATGAAAACAGTAGTTGTTAAATATACTACTGTTATAGGAAAACAAACATTTTTAGTTATAGAGAGGCCTTTTTACACGTTTAATCCTTAAATTACTGAATGATTTCAATGCCATTCGTTGATGATGAGGGCAACATGGTATTGAGTAATTATTATGTTTTTTATCTGTTTCAACACTAGGCATCAAGAGCTGATAAATAAATAAAAACTGAGTAAGATTAACTTCTTTTGTATGTAAGATACATCGGTTAATTAGTTGGATTATTTATATCTTGGTGCAACTCGTAACCGACGAGAGATCTGGTGCATAAATAGTTTTGAAATCTTTCTGTCTGGAGGGTTGGTACGCAAGGATAGTCTTGAATTGTCTTTTGTTGTCCAGATGTCATGTTATGTTAAAACATTTGACTTCTTTGTACATCTACTTAGAGTGCCTGTTTGTGCGTGGCCATGCCTAATACAGTAGGTTATCCTTGACCCTATTTCAGTGTTGTAGGCTAGGGATAATTTGTAATAAGTTAATAGAACATAGGGACGTGTTGAATTGGAAAATAATATCTTTCATTTATTCTAAACTCTTTAATGCAATGTGGAAGTTTTCTATTTTTTTTTTTTTTTTTTTTTTTGCCTTCAAGAAATTTTGTAGACTAAATATTAATTGGAACAGTAGAATAGCTTTAAAATAAAAGAAGGACATTACTGTTCTACTAACTTGTTATTTTATGAGGAAAGTTTATTTGTGAAGTTATTATTTTAACTTTTTATCAATGCTATTTCATCACTTAGACTGGTCTATGTTGCACAGCTCTCGACAATCCCACAAAGAAAACCAAAGAAAAATTTGTGTCTGAAGTTCTCGAATTCTTAGATACGGATACCTTGTGGTGAGTGCTAATAAAACGTATCCAGGTTTGTGTGAATTTTTGATACCCGTGCATTCTTAATGAAATGCAATGTGTTCATATCACATAAGGTTTAAAAATAAACTTAATTAAAAAGACTTTTTAAAATTCTAATACATGCATGGATTATAATTGTAATGATCAAATCTGTGTTTTTACAAGATTGAATTAAACCACTTTTTTTCAAAATAGTTGGTTTTTTTTCTACAGTTTGGACACTTGTTAATCTTAGTTGTTAATCCTGTTTTTTACAGTTACAGGGTAAATGAACCTGCAGAATTGGAACAGTTACAGAAAGAAAAATGGGATCCTGTTATCAGTTGGTTTCAACAGAGGTAAATTTTTAATACATTCTAAAATTAACTATTACTTTAAACCTATTCAAGATAAGATAGCCCTATTTTTTAATACTGTAGGAAAAGTTTAAAAATAATTTAATACAGAAGAAAACTGTTAGATTTTCAAGTTATTTATGGATTATTCAACTATATATTAGCAGTGATTTGAAGCACATTGCTTACAGTAGGTGCAACATGAAATGAAAATGGTGATTACATTAGCAGCGACATGAGAAGGAAATGTTGAGTACACAAGCCGTATTGAATATATTAGCAGCAATAAGATATAAAAACT